GGAAAAACGAAGTGGAATCAGTTCGCTCTCCACCTAATCCTTCCAACGAAGGGGAGGTCTTCCTCTTCCTCTACTTCCACTAGCTGGTCATGAATCGAATATTTTCTAAGCTCTTCATTCGCTAATTTATATTAATGGTGACGCATAACTCGTATAGCTCATCGTTCCAACGTCTGATGTATTCACCGTAGCCACAGCGTAAAGGATCACAAATCGCTCAAAAAACTATGCTCTCGAAGACTCCAAGGACTGACTCATCAGATGTCGACATCGTCCACGCTTCTGCGCCATGTAGTAGGACTGAAATGATGAGTGACCATAGCTGGTTCGTAAGTACTGGAAATTATCGACAACTTCAAAGTTATGACTCTCAAAAGTGACGTGAAAGCAGAGTCGTGAATGCGATGACTGTTTGTTTGATGACAGGGGATACTACGTCTTGTCCCCGTTCGCTACCAGACCCATTAGCTTCTGTATAAATTCTGGAGAAAGCAGAACTCAAGGCGCGGTTGTAAAGCCTATGAAATCAGTATCATGGGCACATGCGAGCAGCAGTGCATTCTTATAAAACATTGTACCTAGTCTATTTGGCGCTGCAGCTCTTATCATCAAAAGTGGATTCTCTCATCCAAAGCCCGCTCATTTTAGCTTTCCTCTAAATGGATGTTAGTGGGTTACTCAGAGGATAATTGGCCTAAGACCCGAAGTCGTGAGGTATGGCACTATGTATAAATCAAGTGCTTCTGGCCACTCCTCTGGTTAGACGACTGAGTTGAGCGTACTACATACTTAGATGGGATAGATTAATTCGGTGATAGCAAATCATTAAGTTCCTTTTGCTAGGAGGACCTCCTCAATTACAATTTAAGCTCTGAGAATCCTTTAAAATGAACACACAAACGGGTTCGACGACTACCTTGTTTTGAACGATCGCCACTAATTTGTCTGTAAGTTCAGTTTCAGTAACGTAGTGGGAGCTTGAGAAAATATTTTTCTTAGCAAGCCCAGATCAGACGTTCATTAAAATTATACCCGACCACTGTAGCCGGATCGGCGGCACTTTGCTTTCCAGAACGCCACTTGCAGAGAGTGTCACAGCTCCTAGCGAAATCGGATGCTTTTTGAAGAATCCCTGAGAACTAGAATGCTGATGAACTTCTTCAAATGGACAGTGGTGTTCGGTGACATTGATATAGTTCTGGGAATAACAAGATAGCGAATACGCTGGCTAGGTCATGTTGACTTCATCGATGAAAGCACTCCAGCTTTGAAAGTTTGGAGAGCCGTAGGCGCCAGTGGGATTAGAGGAAGAGGAAGTCCTACTCTTATGCAAAGTGCAGGCGGGGGGAGGACCTGGCTGCATTTGGTGTCTTGAATTCTCGTCAAACGGAGGTAAAAAAATCGACTGGCGTTGCTGTTGTTAATTGAATTATGTAAGCTGTGCGCACTCTAATAACGAAGAAGATCTGAACTTTTATCGTTAGCGGAGTTGAAGTCATTTAAGAGCTAAAAGTAGAAAGATCTCCTGACATAAAGCTCTATTTTACGGTTTTTTGTACCACTCTAAAGCACGTAAATGCGTTTGTAATAAGTACTTGAATGTGGGTATGTATATGTAAATGGCCGCAATGCCAACTGAATGCCATTAATCTAACAGACACCTCAAGAATTAAGTTTTGCGTAAACAACGAATTGCAATCGTTCATACATACATACAGGCTTATGAATACATACAAATCTGTATTCAAGAGTTATGATGGCGTGGATCACTGCCAAAGCACCAGAGCTTCAAACAAGCTTCACTGGTTTTATATCGACTTTTGAGTATTTTTACGTCATACATGCATGGGTGCGTATGAACAACATGTATGAGTGGTTAAATTAAAAGTTCGAGGCAATTAGTGCTGAGCGAACTTTTGCCATTCCTTCCAGTGGTTCACAACTACTAAAATGTATGCACGTCCATGTATGTATGTATAGTTTTAAATTATTAACAAATTTATTACGTTTTATTTTAATTTTAATTTAAATTTTTTATTTTCTTCGGTTTGGTTACATTGTTCATAGCTTGATTGTTACTACAAAACAAAAGAGGAGCAAGAAGTTCACTTGCACTCGCGGGCTACCCTACTTGTTACAGTTTAGTTTAAGATTTTATGCGTCAGCACAGGAATTTCAAGGAAAGAAAGGAGGGCAGGAAAGAGGAGTGTTTCCAAGGATGTGCACATGTCACGTTAAATTTTATCAATTTTATTTACGTTAGTGGAGACATTTATTTTCAACATACAGACATACACGTATGTATGTTTTCGCCAATATAGAAAGATTTATTTATGTATATACATAAATGCACTTGGAGTGCAGTAATTGCCAAATGCTTTTACGTGTGAGTGTCTGCATTTTGTGTTTTACGATGGCTATAATGCCTGAAATGGAAAAAGCGAAAACAAATTATTTTCCATTAGGAAAATACTCGTTCTCGAATAAAATGAATGTGACAACAGAAATAAGCGGAAGGTTTCTAATGTCAGTAAATGGCGTCCGTTTTCGTATAAATGGTTTGAAGTAGCAAAATATTTTTCTGATTTAATTGTTTAAATGATCTTTTTTAATAAATTATTTTCAGCGGAAAAAGATATTAGATTATTTTATTTTTATTTTATAGCAATAAAAGGGAGATTTGATCCTTTCGACAGCTAATACTTGACTTATAGCCCGTGGGTTTGCCAAGTACTAATAAACAGATCTACGCCGGAGCAACGTTTGCAATTCGTGCAAATTTACTACCAAAATAATGGTTCGGTTCGTGCGACGCATCGCGGTCAACATAATCGCACAACAGCACGTTTAACCCAGTGGATACTGCAGAGCGTTAAACACGCCTTAGAGTTCGCACCGAAGATGCCATTGCGGCTGTGGAGCAGAATATCAAAGAAGACCTGAATGAGTCCATCCGTCAACGTGCGCAACAATCGGAGCTTTGCCAATCCACTTTAAAAATAATTTTGCGGAAGTATTTTGGTTTGGGGGCTCACAAAATCCTACTGGGACGTTCGGTGAATGGGTCCAAAGCGGAATTGCCACCGATCGCGATTTGAACTAGAAAATTTTGATCAGCGTTGAGGCTCCCTCTCTCACTGTTTGGTGTGCTATAAATGCAGATGGGACTATTGGCATATAAATCTTTAAGAATTAAGACAACCATAATGTTATAGACTATGGGAAATTCAATAGAGCATGGGTTAATGCCTTGTTTTCCTGCGTTGGAGAATGTTTATGTTGCATGATCTAGCGTCAGTGAGCTAGTGGAGATTTATGAAGTCGGCAGAGAATGTCAAGTCCTGAAAGCCCGTCATAAAAAACCATCCGCCGTTCGGAGTAGATCTCCTACACTATGTATTCGGAGAAGAGATCGGCCAAAAATCGCTTCAGCGGTTACAAAATGTCAATTATACGTAAAGTCGCTTTTCTACGCAGCTAAGTTCGAGACGAATGATGCCTTGGAAGAACACAATTTTCTTTAGGTAATACTTTTACAACTTTCCCGCTGAGCGAGCTTCAGTTAATATCAGTAAAACAACAGCCTTTATAAGGCACACTAACCGGTTCTCATGGCGACTTATAGAAGGACAAGACCGGAACAGACTCTTGTAGGTCAGAAAGAGGTGATTTAGTGATCTAGACGCCCATATTATTCTTAATTTATAGAGAGAACACTTCTCATGTCTGCTGCGGCACTGTAGAATTGGTAAAGTGCATGCACCAGCTTCTAAGCATGATCAGACGATTGAAATTTAACACCTCTGTGCCCGATCCAAAAAATTGGGATTTCGATGGCTGCATTGGTGGCATAAGCATCTTTAATGTCGCTTATAAGGTCCTACCGAACGTATCTTGTGAGAACCTGCAGCCCTCCGTCAACAAAATGATTGAACCTTATGTGGCTTTAGACCTGGTAGAACAGCCATTGATCAGATATTCAAGAAGCGAAATTTTGTAAAAGACCCGAGGAAAGAAGATCGACCCTTTCCACCTCTTCGCCGATTTTACAGCAGCCCTCTACGACACTAAGTCTGAATTCGTAAACTGAAAAGTAAACTGATCTTAAGCAACACTAAAAGTTCCATCAGGATCAGGAAGGATCTTGCCGAGCCATGCTGTACCGAGCAAGGTCAGACAAGCTGATGGGTTTAAATATTTTTTATTTAATATCAACTGCGCTGATAGTTCGGCTTTCTCCAGACTGGATAAGGAAGCGAAATATATGAGTCTTGTGGCGAATGAGGACAAAATGAAATATCTCCTGTCAAAACAAACAATCGACGCATTCGCTTGACTCGCTCTCGTCACTTGTGACAATCATAATATTGAAGTCCTAAAATCCAACACAGAATCACTCTTGCCAACATTTGTTACTTTGGACGGAGTAGGCAATACAAATTCTATGTTGGCTGGGTCATGTAGTCCGAATAGATAGAAATCTACTAACTTTGAAAGTTTCCGATGCAGTATCTACCTATGGAAGCAAAGGAAGAGGAAGACGTCCACTCCGTTGGAAAGACCAGGTAGAGAAAGGCCTGGCTGTTCATGGTACTTGTAACTGGCTTTAACTCGGCTATATTCGCTTGAGCAGTATCTACGTTGTAGGGAAGAAGAAACTTTCGGTCTAAGTGATTTGGTCTCCGGTTAACAATTCAACTCGACTGAAGATCATGTGCTCCTGCTTAGCAGAAACTCTATTAGAATATCGACCAGTTTATGTAAAAAGAAGTGGGTAAAATATACAACAGTTAAATCACATACCATAAATAACTCCAAACCGGAAATCCCAAATTATATTTATGCCATTCTATTCACCATTCTATTCATCAAAGGTAAGAGCTTAAATATTACTAACAATAATTTCACCGAAATTCAAGAGAACTCCCAAATCATATTAAATATTCCAGCTGAAAGAGAGAGCCGTACCAGCAAGACAAATGAAGGTGATTATTGTTTACCTCAGCAGAAGAATTGTGATGGGGTCTTCCTTATTTGGCTGCCTTATTCGCCTTCGCTTTTGCCTGCGCTGGTTGTTGTTGTGCAGTGTTTTCCTCAGTTTTCTTCAGCACAGTCGAGATCACATACAAATCATTACACACTAAATTAAAATTTCATGAAACACACACGGACAACTGAGATTTATTAACAAACAAACATGCGTTCGCTTAAATTTGTATGTACACGTATGTATGTATGTACGTTTGCACACACTGTACGCGCGTATGTGCACCCTTCGATGTACAATACTACGATGTATCTATGTATGAAAGTTCCTTCGCCTGTGGCACCACATAAATCTGCAATTACAAGGCTTCCGTGTGTACACGGACCAGAAATCTTATTTTGTTTTGACGATTTTATTACACAAAATGTTCTTTAAATACAATTTTTTGTGATTTCTTTTTCTTTACTATTTCTTTTTGTTTTCGTCTTCTCATCTACTTATGTATGTGCCTACGTGTTCACCTCTTTTTCTAAATTGCACAACTGTCATTTGGTTTCGGACACTTGCAAGCATTGAGCTCGTTCGCTTTCTAGCGCTGCCACAACCAGCGAGCAGGTGTGCTGGCGAGGGGTGGAGATAAAGTGAAATTATGAAATTTCTTGTATTTTCTTTTCACGACAGAAGCGCCTCCATACGCACAACTATACATACATATGTACTATGTATATACTAAATTTATTTTGTAATATCATTTGCACAATTACAACTCGAAAAAATGCGTACACTACTTAATATTTATTTTCGTACGAGATCTCAATTCACATCATCACTTCACTTGTCTCGTCTCGACGTCGAGCAAAATATTTTTAACAACAGAAATTTTTTGGCCTGCTATTTTTAGCTGTAGACGTATTTTTTGTGTGCGACGCTCGAATAGTCCGCAACGGGCGGAGGGTGATCTGCTTACGCTGCGCAGGCAGTACCAACGACCTCAGTACTTAGAATATTATGAGTGCTACAAACAGCAACACTTTCACCAGCTCGCCTTTGCTTTTAATGTGAATTCCATGCTTTTTCGTTGCCTCTTGTTTTTTTTTTTTTTTTTTTGCAAATTAGAACACTTTTTTGATATATTTTTTTCACTGCTCAAACTTCCTTCCACATGCCCCGTTGGCGGACTCCTTGTGTATGTGGTTGTGTGTGTGTACGAAGAATGCAGGAAAATGATTTTAATATTTAGTGTTGTTGTTGTTGATTAACATCCAACACTTTAGCCAATACAACCGTTCCACAATAACCCGTCCGTCTCAAACGCAAATCATTTCTGAATTGTGTTCTTCAAGTTCTGTGCATCGCATTGTGGCGCACTCATTGCCACTGTGTGGTCGCGCTCTTTCGCTCTCTGCTGAGTAGTGCTTGGACATTCTGTGTGCTCTGTTTCTGATTATAAATGTCAAAAGTTGACATTTACTGCAATTGGCAATGTCAGAACATATTGTTTGGGGTGGTAGTGCGCATGTCGCGGAGAGCAACTCTGCTGTAACGGTAGTTTGGTGGAAGAGGGATGCATAGCTGTAGCAGACACAGGGTGGTTTTTATCATTTTATCATTCACATTTCATTTATGCCATTAATGGCAATCTGATAAAATGCCTTGTAATGAAAAACGTTTTTAACCCTAATGGTGAGTTTTTTCCGGTCGAATTAATTTGTGTCCTGTTGATTTTGTTCGAAGTAATTTAATTATATTTTATTTATTGAAATGCGCTAATGTTGGAGCTATATAAATACATCAGAATAAATGTTGAGGGACCACAATGACTACACAAAAAGAGCATTAATCAGCTGAAGAAATTATATAACGATGAAATAAATAAAAAATTATACCTTCATTGGACATTGGTGACACAGCGCCTGAGGCAGGTACATAAGTAGAAAGGTAGCTATACCTTAGCCTCGGGACCCGTTAATGTTGTGATGCTTTATCTTAAGACCTCGATATGCTGCTATTGAAGTTCTCTATATATACAAATATCCGATATGGTTTCTGTGGACAGCCATTCAAGATTTAGTACCTAATTGGCTCCAAATCTCTATGTCAAGTGAGAAGGCTGGCTGTTCACTGTTCCCTTATTTTTCTTTTGTCAAACTTAGGTCCTTCCCAAAGCGCCAATGTCTCGTTTTTGGGCCTGAAACTTTAAACAAACTCTTTTTTTACCTTTCTGTTACCGAAAATATTCCAATGGGTGGGAATCTAGATTATAGATATATTGGCTGAACCAAAAGTGAACTTAAGAATTTTATAAAATTTGTTACAAGGCTGGAATCCAAACATTACCGACGCATGTCTCTCTACATATTCCTAAAGTTGTTCAGGATATAGTCAACCTTCTGGATATGCAGTTACAGTTGCGGAGCGATACTTAATTCTCACTGTTATCATGTCACTCGCACTGAAATCGTAAGCAACTCTTGTGCAATATGCGGTACCATAAAAAAGAGGAAGCTTCAGTGGAGCCTCTCCGAAATATTCGGCTTAAGTGTTAACCGAATTCCAACTTCAGTGTCTGTTTACCTGAGGTGTGGCTGCAAGCGGGTGTCGGTTTGGAGGCAAGCGCTTCGCAATGTAAACGTGTGCTAAATTTAAACCTACCAACGAGACTGTTTCCTGGATTTGGAGCCCGCCACGAAGAATTCAATCCCATGAAAAAGGAACAACAGATAAGTTACCTCATTTCGATGACGATCACTGCAAATATATTAAGGACTATGAATTCAGGGTATGCGCCTGGATTGTGAAAATAGAACATCAGGGGACGGCGAGTCACACTCACCCATCAATGACGATGAAACAAATGTTTCATTGCCCGACTATGAAGAAGATCAAATAATGATTCCCCGCTTGGAAACCAAAGCAGCGGTGAGGTCGGTGGTTTTCCGCCCAGGCTTTTCAAAGAACTAACAAAGTATATTTATCAGCTTCTTCGCAAAATATGCTCTGCTTAATCCACAAAAGGGGTATCCCACGGTCTGTGCCCATCACCATGGAATATGTTTCCTTAATATTGCGTAAAAGGACCTTATCAGTGAGTCTTAAGACCATGGTGAATCTTGGAAAAGACCAATGAAAGAAGACCGATACAAACTACCTTGGTCTTGGTCGATTTTAAGGCAGCCTTCGCCGGCCCGAATGGGAGCTATTTTTAGCCGCTGCCCCTCAATTCGGTATCCCCAAAAAACTTATACCACATTCCAAAGCGCGCTCAAAATCGCGGTTCTTTTCGACCTGACGGCTACCAGGTTTCATTCAAGATTATTCGCTATCGTGTGCCGAATGATATTGACGTAAGTTCTTCCTTCTCCGAACTGAATAAGAAAGTGAAGCGAATAGGTCTGGTAGGGAATGAGGGAAATACGAAATATCTCCTGTCATCAAACAAACAGTCATCGCATTCGCGACTCAACTCCCACAGCACTGTTGAGAGTCATAACTTTGATGTCGTAGACAACTTTGTCTATCTGGGAACTAGTATCAACACCAACAGCAATGTCAGCCTTGAAATCTAACGTAGTGGCACTCATGACAGCAGATGCTACTTCGGACTAAATAGGCAATTGGAAAGTAAAGTCCTACCTCGATGAACGAATACCAAACTCTACAAGTTCCTGCCCTGCTATATGGTGCGAAGCATGGACGATGATTCGATGTTAGGAATTTTCGAGCGAAAGGTTTTGAGTAAGATTTATGGTCCTAAACGAGTTGGGAATGGCGAATACGGCAACCGATGAAACGACTAACTGTACAAGTTATACGACGACATTGGCATACTTCAGCGAATCAAAAGACATCGGCTACGTTGGCTGAGTCTTGTGTCCCGATGAATGAAATTACTTTTGGCTTGAAAGCTTTCGTTGCATTACCCAAAGGTGGAAGTTGAGGAATAGGAAGACTTCCTCTCCTTTGGAACGACCAAGTGGAGAAAGAGTTTCGGGCAAAGTGACTTTGAACCAATTCCAAAAACCAATTTTCTATCCTTGTCTCGTTAAGCAGGTTTCTCGGATTGCAGTGATGGCACGAACATACCTGAAAAAAGGTTTAGATTTCAGCGCTCAGATTTATAAATATTTTGTTTTTAGTTTTTTTCAAAACACCTTTTCGAGACAACTTCGACCTCCGGATTAGTAATTAGCTGCATCTTTCCTGGGTGATCCAATGTTTCATTCGGTAACCCCAACTTGAACAAGAGTTGCTCGCAGCGTTAGGAGTAAAATTACACCACACCCTTTATAATTTTCCTACAAATTTTCTCAGAGTTAGTTGAGCTTCAAAATCCAGGGTTAGCCAAAAAGATTGGACTGCGAGAAACCTTTCAAATCAAATATCCATAAAAAGAAAATCTTTACTAAGTTGGGATTAAAACTTTCCACATACATACACACTTTTTTATTTATTTACAATTAACTATTTCATTAATTACTGATCAGGTATAAAAATATTGCAGAGCTTCTTAACCTAGCCTAAGAACCCACCACCGGCACCGCCTATCAGTCCAGCGCCAGCACCGGCAAAGCCACCGCCTCCACTTTCTGTGTAGTGCGCCTTATAGCGGCCACCGCCGAAACCGCCACCGATGCCTTTGAAGCCACCCAGGCCACCACCCAGGCCTCCACCTAAACCACCTACACCACCAAAACCACCTAGGCCACCGCCAAATCCACGCGAACGTATGTGCACGCTCGTGCGATAACGCTTGAAGCCACCACCAAAGCCACCGCCAATGCCGCCAGCACCTGCCAAACCACCACCAAGTACACCCAAACCAGCGCCTCCCAAACTGCGCCCCTCAACACCGAGCGCAGGTTGTTGTACTACCAACGGCTGTTGGGCATCCGTTAAAACAGGCACCTGCTGTACAGTTTGCAGACTCGATACCACTGGCACTTGCTGAACTTGCTGTAGTGTAGAATATACCGGTATTTGTTGCACCGATTGTAAAGCGCTGAGATCGTCACCGAAATTGTTGAAGTCTCCGAGTGTGGTTGAGTAAGCATTGGCGGTGCTGGATATACCACCAAAGTCATTAGCTACACCACTTGCAACTGGACTATAACTAGTTGGAAGGCTGCTCAAATCACTTGTGCCAATGCCACTGAGATCCGTTGAGAGACCAACGAGACCACCGCTGTACTCCCCAATGCCACCCAGAGAGCGGGTCTGTCTGTAGTCCGGTACACCATAGCTCGTGGCTGGCGGTAGTAGTTGCTCCTCCTTGGCAATTGTGTTGGCTGTGAGGGCCAGCAGTGTGGCTATCACTATATTCAACCCGATCCACATGCTCTCTGTGGTTTGATGAAACTAAAACTTTATTGTTTATTCCACGCTAACTTGCTATAATCTAAACTCGCTTCTTGGTCTACAAAGCTTAAATAGTTTCACACTTTTCAACACGAAAACAAACAAACTAAAATTCAAAAATTTTATTTAACATTCGCCGACGTGGCAAATACCATCATTACACATCGCTAACGTTCAAGTTCAAGTAGGGAAAATACACATACGAAATTCGTTTGCTCACCTCCGTAGTTTCCCAAAATTGTATTTACTTTTTTTTTAGTGACTTGTTTGAACAGCACTATTGACCATTTCAATTAGTCAGCCACGATGGAACTGAGTAACTCAGTTATTGCACAATTTCCATTGGAGTACCTTTGGATCTCATTGATTGATCAGTACCGAGCGATTCATGAGCTTAAGCATCGCTTTGCCGCTGTTTGCTTGTTGTATACTGCAGACTTACGAGCCTTTGTTGTCAAAGGGAATTATTTGTACAATATATCAAAGTTGTTGTTATTTATTTAAAATTTATTGCATGTGAATGACCTTACATCTGCTATTTATACGAATAAACATATGAGGGCGGACGGTAGAAGTGCTAAATATTAAATATATTGTGACTGCCCTACCTAGAAGGTACTTATCGTTTGTGTAAGAAACAACAGTTGGGATATTGTAAATTATATCTTCCTACAGTTTTTGTTTGTTTCGACAAAAACTCCATAAGTTTTCAAGGCCGGAAAGGTCGCTTTATGATTAACTCCTTTATTGGACATGATTTGTCGCATCGAAAAATCTGCGAATTTTGTCGCTTGCACTAACGATTCTGCGATTCGCTAAGGGTCGTTTTCACCATCTCCGGTTAAGCACTTGAACATAACTTAATCGGAAGGTAGCATAAAACTCGATTTCACAATGCCGGTTAAGGCGCATCTGTCAGTTAAGTTGTGGTTAACTTAACGCCAACATTGAGTGGCGATTACCTCTTAATCAGAAGATGATTTGACAGCTACAAACAGTAAAATAATAAAATAATTTGATTTTGCAGGAATAAAGCAGTTTAAAATTTGGCTTTAACACTACGCTTTTATGCATGAGGAAGTTTTTTTATTTGTGTTACGGCTTGTGGGGAATAAAAGTGGCGACTGCCCGTCGGATGGTAAATAGTGTCCATTGTGTTAGATGCACTTGTCCAATCATTCATCAGAATGCCGAAAAGAAGCATGGAAATTGAAAGCACAATGCGCCCATTTCAAAAGGTGTTGGAGTGCTCAGATTGCACTCGTGCTATAATCCAATCACCTGGAGAAGAAATTGCCAAAAGTTTACAAAAAAGGAAAGGGTACTTCCAAAATAGCGAATTTTGTATACAGGAGTGCTGGTTCTGGATATTAAGCATTATTTTTAATAGTAGTTGTCCAAGCCACCGTTTAAGATAAACGAAAGAGACTAAGCAACTACATTATGTGTATACTTTTACATCCCAATTTTCGCAGTGAAAGGCTTAACAATGAATCTGAAATCCGTGATGAAATGGCATAGAGAGGGGCTATGGATTATGGATATGTCGTTTCCAGTACTTTCCCTTGGTTTGAGAATTTCATTCAACACAACTACGAACATCATTGTTGCCTGTCAGAATGACTCTTATTTGAATAAAGTAGAAGTTCAAGCGCATGAACCAGGAGATGCCGAAGAAAACATAGCTGAGGTTCAAGGAAACCATATACGAGTGCATTCATTTTATAAATGTTATTTAAAACCATTAAAGCCTTTTTTTCAAATAAAAATATATGAAATGATTTGCATTAAATTACAATTTTTTTCAAAAAAATACAAATAAAAAAAGAAAGGAAGATCAAAAAAAGTACTTAACCATATCTTAAAGTAATTAGAAGTTAAGTAACCAGAAGGTAATTACGAAAGTCTCACATCAGCCTATTTGGCGCTTGGTTATCCTGCGGTTACAAGTTAAGTTATTCGGACATTGTGAAAATGGGCCTAAGTAAGTTTCAACGATAATCGACAAAGAACATTTCCTGTTTATTAAAATGGAAGAGAGGTGACACCCCAGTTTAACGAAACATCAAAATATGAGAAAACACAAAGCCCAATGACAAAACCAAAACAAATACGTGAGAGTAATTATCTTCATTAAATGAGCTACCGCCCTCCAGGGTACATAGTATTTACTGCCAAAATTTTGAGATAAATGTCACCTATTCATATAAAAATATAATGAACTTTGTTACTACAATAACAATTGGAAAAATAAAAATTCCCAATTTTCTTTATGATTTCTAGGGTCATGATTGAAACATGAGTGCTTCCAACAAATGGTGACGAGGATTAGTAAAACAATTTCTATGCAGCCTTCCCGCTCTCTTTTGGTCATGAAAAAACTAACCTTTGCTGAGAACATCGAACATCGAACGGTTGATTGCGTCTATTACACAATGTATGAACGGCATACGGGCAGCTGTCTCATACGAGTAATTAGCTAAATGTCTTTTGTTAAATTGCTACAATATGTATGACGTCATTAATGATATCTTTATAAACACATTCTTCAGGTATAATAATAATTCCACACTTTGCTTCCTTTGGTAATATCTGTAGAAAAAATTGGATCCAATACTTTGGAAAAAAAAATATATATAAAATATATATAAGAAATTATACATTAAGAAAGTTTAAGGCGACACAAATATTATCATTTTCAATCTTATCATATTACTATACCCATTCTTTGATTATTCTTTGATACAGTATTACTACTGTTCTTGTGTTTTGTGTCTCCGTTTTAACCACAGTCAATAAAGTTTTAAAATCAAGGGAATGTTTTATAATTGTTTCTGTATTGAAACAAAATATTTTAATGTACAACAGACTCTAAATCTGATCACAATGATGTATTTTTACTTAATTTAAGGGGCACCCCTAAGATTTCAGGTTTCGGTAGACTACACCTTTAAAAATAACATATTAAAATTTCAAACCGATATCTCAGATAGTTTTTGAGTTCTAGCAATTTAAAGAGCAGCCGCTCGGCAGCTAGAGAGTCTCATTAGCTACGAGTGAAAACGATCAATTTAACTGGTAATGAATTTTTCTCTAAACAAAATTTTACGAATTTGCTGCAATAATTACTCAAAAACAAATGATCCGATCACTATCGAATTTTTTACATGTTCTATGTATAGTTCTCCGTACATTATCTGATCAAAATTTTGGGTAAAATTCGACTATTTTTTTTTCTAAACGCCGCCATATTGTCAATTTTTGATTTTTTTATCGTAAGTCATTGTACAGACAATATTATCAAGTAAAGATTTTTTTTTTAGATTTCATTCCCGGAGAAGGCCGGAATCACTGCAGCAGTGAAGGACCTTTTTTTCGCGCCGTTGGAGATCGACTATAACTTTAAAAATATTTCATTTTTTTCTTCAAAAATTTCACTGTTTATTCTTGAAACATGTTTAAATATATTGTTATAATTTTGAAATAATTGATAAAGTACTTTTGTTATTAAAAATCACCTTTTTTTAGGCCATTACTATAGGTGTGCCCCTTAAATCATCAAATCAGTAGATATTTATATATGTAAATATTCTTCAGCTCTTCCTGTAATTTGAATCATACCTTTAAGTTTATTACTTACATATATATAAACTAAATTGTGCTTAGATTAAGAACTAATTTGCAAAAATCAGTTTATATTAAATGTTTTTTTCTCTCCGGGTAAAGTACCAATTTATTTATTAAAACCATTAGTACATCTAAAGCACAGTGGAACGAAAAAGAATCAATTTCACCCTGAGCACGTGTAGAAATATTAAAAGGAAAAATGTGCACCTATAGATATATGAATGTTGTTTGTAATTTCATTTATTAAAAAAAACTAAAATCGATATTAAGGGGTATACCTAGTGTAATCGCCTAAAACAGTTGATTTTTGGGAATTTTTATTAAAAAAATCCTTTATCAATTTTTTCAAAATTTTAAGAATATATTTACACATGTTTCAAAATTGACAATATGGCGGCGTTTAAAAAAAATAGTCGAATTTTACCCAAAATTTTGGTCGTTTTTGGCCTGCCAAAATTCGATTCTTTGATCAGATCAAAAATCGATAGGTCATTGTACGGAGAACTATATATAGAGCATGTAAAAAAATTCGATAGTGATCGGATCATTTGTTTTTGAGTAATCACTGCAGAAAATTCAGAAAATGTTGTTTTGAGAAAAACGAGTTTAAAGATAAAATGATCATTTTCATTCGGAGCTAATGAGACTCTCTAGCTGCCGAGCGGCTGGTCTTTAAATTGCTAGAACTCAAAAACTATTTGAGATATCGGTTTGAAATTTTAATATGTTATTTTTAAAGGTGTAATCTACCGAAATAAGATCGATTTTTTTGAAATTTCACACTATGTAAGTAGTCATTTTGACAATTTGAAAACAGTAGTAAAAAAAAATTTTGTGAAAAATAAAACTAAAGAAGCAGTTGATTCTTAAGGGAGATAGATAAAAAATTATAATTTTATAAATTTTTTTGGTTTTTGTTTTTAATAATAAGATAATTTTGTAAGTAAATTCAGGGCTGAGCCAAAATATCGCAATAAGTTCAGCCAACAATAACATTTGAATGACAAGTATTTCAAAATCGGATTTGCTCATTATCGGATTGAGGATTAAATTCAGTTGAAATTGGTCGAATATTGTGAGGATTTCAAGTTATGTTTGAGTTTTACTGGCACTGAAAAATTGTGGTAAGGTGTAATTGTAAATATTTTAATGAAAAATCAGCTAGTTGGCGCTATGCTCGAATTATTTAAATAATTCTGGTTTTTTAGTTAAATTAAAATAAAAATCGGGTTGGTACGCAGATATTAAAACTTATCTAATAAATATAATTAAAATATGTGAGATGCACAAATCATCTAAATTTCATCCCACTGTATCTAGAGAAACCATATTTAACGAAATCGCCAAAAATA